AACCTAGAGAAAGCTATATCAGCTAATGAATCATAATCATTGGCCTCTGGGACTAGGGTTGTAATTAGTTAGCTAACATCTTGTTGGTGGTCTGTTTGTCTGTGTTTTGCTTTGCTGCTGGCTGCTTGCCTGGGAAGGGACGGGGGGGTGCAGGTGGACAGGGTTCAGAAGGAATTCAAACCTTTATAATTGGGTTTCCAATTTAAAAATTTAGGGCCCAATTTTTTTTAGCATTATAGAGGTACCATTTTTCAAACAGGGTCTGAATAAATTTGGAAAAATAGCATTATAGAGGACCTATTTACTAATCAGGCTCCAACATTAGTTGACACCAGCAGAAGGACTGTAACAACGGGACAACAGGAGGACAAAGAGTAGGACAAGAAGAAGACAAAGGACATGACAAATACATAAAAATTACTAAAAATTGTTCAACATACAGCATTGATCAAGCTGGAGGAAGGACAAGAAATCGACAACAGGTGGACAAAAAAGGACAACAGGAGGACACTGCGTTCACCGGCGCGGCCAGCGACTGTGGCCAGCTTCTTTTTTCCTAAGGGAGAACCCCAACAGTAAACTGTTTGGGGAAGAACACCGCCACCACCAACACATGATAATGGCTTGTAGTTAGTCACTTAGTCAGGACCCGCAGCAGCAACAGCAGAAGCAGGATGGGTCAAACCCAACCGCATCAGTGCATTCCTTCTTCCTGGGCGTCCCCGACGGTCTTCGGTGGCATTTGGACCTTCAGGGGGATCACTCCTCAGCAACGTGGAGATGCTGCTGAAACAGAATCCCGACTTTCGGGTTGGTAAAGTCGGTGGAGGACATAGGTTGTGTAAAGTTGGTGTCATGTGGTACGCTTCCTGGGGCTTCGTGGGAAGCGTAAAGCCACCCCCGGAAACGACAAACGTTTGCGGCAGCCGTCATCCTAAGGAGGTTCTTGGGTCTCTCTCTCTATATATATATATAGTACGCATGTCAATGTAAACACACACGTTCTATACTGTAAATTACTGTGTTTTTGTGATATTTTGGACTTATTTTGCGAGTAATATTTTGAGACCTTTTTTCACAAGA